TACCTTAGGAGGAAGAGAAATGCCAGCTTTCTCACACCCCATTGAATCAACCGGTGCACCCTCGGAAGACCTCATTTTGCGAATTTCTCGAAGGACCTTTTCCCAGTTGGCAGGTGGTGGTTGTGCTGTATCGCACAACATGCAATATACATGATTTCTCTTAAGTCTTGATCATATGTTCTAACAGAACAAAATTGAAAAATTTAACTATTATATACCTAGGACGTAAAGTTAATTGTAAATGTTAGCAAATGGTGTCTAACTCAGTGGCATTTAAACTAATCATATCCAAAGAATTAGTTGGATTAGATCCTTTCTTAGAGATCATAAATCCACATTATTTATAAATTGTTGAACTACTTGATATAAAAGTTTAAGTTGTTCGATAAATGCATATCATTTAAATCTTGTCTTCAATACACCCATCGCACGTAGGCAAAGTTCGTTCCTTCTCCATCAGAGCCCAACGTGTGCATGATTCCATTAAATGGGTGACAGGAGAGTTGCACCAGGACCTTGACTGTTTAGATACCATATTTAACCACTTGATCTAACAACTTAAGCTAGTAGAAAATGTCACATGTATATCATTTAAATCCTATATCAACATAAACTTTTGCTTACAGTTTTAGTAATCTAATAAAAGACATGCTCTGGTCGAGACTAAATTTAAATAAATAAATGTAATTTAAATTTTAAATGAGATGACTCAACATTCTCTCTGTCTTTTAAAGTATTCATAAGTCAGTTATATATCATAAATGTATAAAACTGTCATTTATTGAGGATTCCTATTCCAATCCCCACACCTCAAGGGAACTCCAACATCAATGTACATTTTCACTAAGAAACCTTGATGTTTTTTCCTTGGATGAAGTCAGAACTTCATTAATGGAAAATGCGTATAAATGCTATGTGAAAGTAGAAAGAATAATGCTATATGTACATAATTTTTTTACCTAATCCTTTACCTATTAATCACAACAGGGGGTGGGGACCACATTTGAAAATTTTTATATTCATGTTGGGCCCGCATGTATTGTGAGAGGGGGGACAACTTTCGGTACCCCCAATTCGGTACAAATAGAATTATTCAAGTATTGATGCCTATCCCTGCTATACAAACAACTAAATTCAAGGGTCATAGTTACCTAGGCAGTTCTACAATTACAACCACCCGCATGCAAGCTTCAATGGTTATAATAATCCCCGTAATTTAGATCTTGGATCACCGGTGCTTTCCAGATCAAATATATTGAAAAGTTAAGCTAACAGATATATGTGGCCAAGATTCATTGGACCATTCTCCTCATTTTGGCAAACCTGAGGCTCATATTTTGTTTAATCCATTCACCATCAAAAATGCGTGGTATCTAGTTAACGAGATAGTAAGATCTAGCATGTATGCCAACACATAGAAACTACTATATTACAATGAGTTTTACCCTCCCAAGCAAACAACAAGCAACGTAATATATATAAAAGTATGTGTTATTAGAGAAAAGAGGAGACATGGAGAAGAAAATAAGAGAGATTCTACCAAAATATTTTTCATGAAAGGAGGAGGAAAGAAGGGAAGATTGTAAAAATAGTAATACTTCGACTAACATGCTTGGGGGAAGACAATTATGATCCTTCCAGTCATATACCTATACCATAAAGGTCATTCTAATACAAACTCTATGATTTTCTTTCTTCATGAATGCTAAACACTTTGAGGCAGTCTACTGAATCTCAAATACCTAAAAGGAAGAAGAGGTCTGTTATTTGGAAATCGTGGCCACCTTAGGATTGAAGCCTATACTCATGTTGACTGGGGGAGGAAGTATAACAGATAGAAGGTCCATATCAGGCTACTACACTTATATCATGGGTAACTTGGTGACTTGGAGAAGCAAGGAATAGTGGAAAAGCTAAGTTCAAAGCCGTTACTCATGGAACCTGTGAACTTTTATGGCTAGAAAGATTACTCGAAGATCTCAAACTCTCAAGTCCAATGCCTATGAAGCTTTACCGTGACAATAAAGCTGCAATAAACACAACTGATATGCATCTCCCCTGTCCCAACAGGAGAGAAGTTGGTGGATGTACTTTCAAAAGGGTTACATAATGGACATTTTAATAGTCTTACATGCAATTTGGGAATGCAAGACGTTTTTGAGCCAGCTTGAAGGGAATGTGAAAAGCCATAGACTGATTTCTTGTAATTATGCGCTAATTTCATGCAATAATGACGTTTTCTGATTTTATGCAATCAATCACGAAGGCAAAACAGGAATTATCTAAAATCAGATATTTGACTTTATTAAATTTAGTAGCTCCCATGTATCATTCCATGTACATACGTTCTTTCCTTAGATAGAATCCATTATGTACATGTATATAAATGAATGTTAATCATAGTATTAGCAATAATGAATGAGAGTATCATAATTTTATTCTCTTTCACATTTGTGTTAAAATAATATGAGGAATGTTAAGAAATGATGGAACCCACAAAAGATCAAGATTCTAGATTTTCTTCAAAAACTAAAATTATCGACATAAGTAGTAAAAAGTGGATCTTATTGGTGCACTTACAACTCCACCCTCCTCGCCTGTGTATTAGTACCGTGCAAAATGCCTTAGACAAGTTAATGCGTCTAAACAACCTTGACACGTTAGTTTAACATTTTTCAACAGCTCTCATTCACATGTTAAAGAATTCTTGTTTTGTGTAAAAACAATAAAAACAATGATGACAATAAGAAGAAATTTATAAATGTTCTTTCTCATATTTCACCAAATTCAAAGAGAAACAGCACGTTCTAGAACAAAATAACCTACTTAAATGAGAATAACTGCTGTCCTTTCCAAATGCAAAATCTTCAATTTCAGGAGGGCTGCATAGCTGCATATTGTAAACTGATAGTTATGCAGCAGTTCCAGTCTTTCGGAAACAACTTTTGTTTATTAATTTGGGTATAACAATATGCCAAAATGATTAATAAATTATAAAGGTTCATACATGGAAAAAAGGTCGAAACTAGTCAACCACCTATTAACACTAATTCAAGGTAAGAGGAAGGCTGCTATACAGCTAGTGTAAACAAATGCAGATATAAAAAGATAGTGTCCTACAAATATTTGAAGCTTACACAATATGCAAGGAAGACATAAGACATGAGAAAAGTATTTAATTAACATACTATCTTGACCCATAAGCCCATATGTTCATCCATACAAAATGAAACTATTAGTTTATTTGTCAACTTTTTGAGACAGGCTATTTCAAGGAGGAATAATTGTATGAAAGGAAAAAACAACTTGGAAATTTCCAACTGCGCTTGAACAAAAATTGAGTTTTATGTTATAATCGTTTTCACAATAATGATCGAGGCCACAAATTCTGGAAAATGCAAAACTGACCTGATTTCTTTAAAAGCTTAAACCCTTTTATTAATTAAAATAGCAAATAAACATTAGCTGTGTTTCGAAACTTAGACAAGTATCAACAGTTTGTCTACACTCAAGAGCAGAAGTGTAGATAATATACGAATTCATTAAAGTTTTGCAGGAATAATGCTTTTTAACTTCACTGAAATACTTGAAGAGATAATTCGGACCCATGTAAAGTGCTTTCCATCACCTGATGCAACTCCAACTTACATGTGCAATGCCCATGACACATTTACATTGCAGAGTCTGCAATCAAGTCATGATCTAAATATCTAATAATCTTTCAACCTTCCACTTCAAATTCCAATTAATCCTCTCAAGAAATAACTAAATCTAGCAACTAAAGGCCGCAAAGAAGCCTTTGGAACAGTTTTGTATGCTCTTCATGCCATCAGAACCAAATTATATCCTTAAAATTGAACACCTACCATTGGTGGGATCCATTATCAGTTCAGGAACATACTTTAACTCAACCAGTAGAAAACTGAAGACATTATTCCTTGTTTATTAGCACAGATGCAGTCAATAAAACAAGAGATGGAAAAGAACATGTCCCCTTAATGGGTAATACTAGGGTGGCAAAAACATCACTAGGAGGAGACAGCATTTATCTAAAATAGCATCCTTCACAATCATAATTCAGCATAAAAAATAATAGTATGTATCCCCTTAACGGGCAAATTGACTAGGGTGGTAATAGTGTCATCAAGAGACCACGCATTTCTCACAAACACCTCACCCATTCCCACAATGAAAGATCACAAAATAAATGTACAAGTTGAATAAACACAACAGCAACAACACAAATACTAAAGTACAGAGTAAAGCCCAACACAAACAGCCAAAGAATTTAACTGTGACTAACTCTCACCAACGCTAAGATCAAGCTGCATATCCTTCAGAATTTTTTTAAAAAGAATTTATCTTGTTCCTTAAGATTATTAATCTCACCTTTTGATCACGAGTTTCTGCTTCAACCGCTATGGGAGTGCTTTCAAGAGTTTTTTTGGGTCTCTTTTTCCTAACAAAGACGCGAAGATTTGGTACAGAACCGGCATTTGAACTTTCAGGAGCTGAAACGATTATCACAGTTAAAATTTTGGGTCTTTTTTCCAATGAACGGCATAAATTATATTTTGACAAAACCTGACCTGGGTTCTCTGGCTCCGGAGATGAAGGAGGTATCCCCAGTTTGGACGTTGAAATTTGTGTTGAAGGCATTTTGTTGAAAGAAAATGAGACGATGAATCGGGGTGAAGCTACGGGAGTGCTTCTGAGAAGAGCAAACATTATTTTGTGGAGGGAGGAATTGAGTTCAGGCTGTTCACAACATTTTTCTATATTTTATTTAAGTTTTATTCTTAGGAGAAAATAGCACAATTCATCTTTCATGGTTAGTTTAGCTAAAAATATTACTAAAAATTTAAGTGAAATTCAAAACATTTATCCAAATTTCAATCACATATTATATCATCTATTTATTACAATCCACCAAAATTTTGTTTTTTTTATCTAAACCAACAAACGAGGACTAGGTTGATATCTGGAGAATAGTGGAATAACGTCACATATATATTCTACTTGACACATGGACATGACCATTAACTCCAATCAATGAAATCCAAAATAATGATGAGCAGATTGGGAAATTTCATATTCAAGTAAACACAACTGACAGCATGGTTATACAATTTTCAACAAATTCTTAGCTAAACACAATAATAACAGCAACATGCTTGGAGCACTTGAAATGTATGTCCTTTTTCTGCTTCAATGTCCTTGAAGTGCTCCTCAACAATCTAGTCAACCTTCCTTCCCCTGAACTTGCTGGTAAGGATTCGGCGCAAGACACTGGCATCCAGCTGGCAGTAATTACGCTGAAGCTGTCCGAGGACATTGTACACAAAAACCATCAACCTCATCTTCAACGTGTGGGCAGCAATAAAACCTTGAAAGAAAGAATTTTCAAATCTCTAAGTAAAACTGAATTAAAGCTTGACATAGAATAAATAGAGAAAATTAAAAAAACACTATCTAGCACCAGTCTAGACGGCAGTAGAGGCTCACCTTGACCTGTCCAATGCATTAAGAGCTTGTTTAGGAATGATTTTTTAGTAATCATTTTCAATTGCACATCATATAGGACTCATGACTTTTTCTTACTTTTTAACCACAAATTATCCAAAAAAATTCATTTTTTATTATAAAACATCTCTCCCAAACAAGCTCTAAAAACTTCATTGGACAAGTCTAAATGGCTCCAATGTCATCTAGACGGGTGCTAAGTAGCATTACCCAAAGAAGCCCATCAAATACATTTTACTGAAACAATATTACATGAAAGTAAAGTTGCTTTCTCACTCCACACATGCTCCCTTTTTTTCCTGTGTTTTCTACTTACCAAGTGTAGTGCAATCCATCATAGAACATGGTTAAATAATTGATAGTTATGGTGGATAATAAAATGAAACTCTTCACATTTGTGGGAAAAAAGAGGGTGACATTCAATCAGCTATGTGCTTGTGCTTCCAATTCGCTATGTAATTTTCTGTGTTTCAGAGTCTTATAAGTTGAATTAATCAAATTCCATTTTTCTTGCTTAATCTCATATTATCCAAATCAACCTACCAATGGTACTGAAATTGTGAGATCCAAGATGAAACTTTTGATTCACTCGTAGGACCTGGCGGTTCGTATGGGACCTGATAAAACATAGACCATGGTCCACACTTGACAGTCTTCACTTGTAGCACCATGCAGTGCAGGACTACACTCAATAAGTGCCAAATGTACATATGCTTATAATGGAACAACATGACATACAAGTTCACATAGATCAATGAAGTTTCTATAATGCATGTAGATACAAGCCTTAGTGCTGAGAAATTCCAATCTTGAATGCAGCCCAGAGAAGAACCAATGACTATATCTAGGGAGTATATATATATTGACCGCAAGTTCGGCCCCATAATTTGTTAGAATTTTAGTTGTTCAAAATAGTAGTTAAATAAAAAAATAAAAATAAAAATAAAAAATTTTGGGCTTAACCATGCGGCCGCATGAGGCCCTCCTTAAAATGGGAGGGCCACTTGCAGTATAACCATTGACCGCATGGTTATTTTAGGGAGGGCCACTTGCAGTATAACCATGTGACCGCATGGTCTATAACCATGCGGTCGCATGGTTATACAAAGTGACCGTTGAAATTCGTTTTTTACCGTTTTTCTTTTGAATTTGGTGTCTTTTCAACATACTTTGCACCATTTCATGGGAACCCTTCAAAGTCTATAAATAGGTGTTCCAATTGCAAAGAAAAACACTCGTGAGAAAATTAAGAAATCCACCACAAGATTATTCTCTCAAATTATCATAATCAATCCTATATCTATTTTCATTTGTTCTTTGTGAAAGATACACTTTGCTTTTGGTGTTCTTCACACAAAGGCTTGTTTAATCCTACAAACTATTTGTCGGAACTCCTCAAAAGCATTGGAAAGGGGGCAACTAACGTTTGAGGATAGCGTTATCATTTTTGTGTTCAAGCCTCTAATTATATCTATATTCTTTTATTACTAATTTTCTTCTCCTCATTGCTTTAAATTTCCAACAAACTCAAACGTTATTTTACATTTACTGCAATGGAGTCAGAATCTACTATTGCTACTATCAAAATGATGAATCAAGATCTGGTGCGTTTGGATAGATTCGATGGTGCAAACTTTACAAGATGGCAAGACAAACTCAAGTTTCTTCTAACGGCGTTGAAGATCTTCTACGTGCTTGATTCAAAATTGGAACCCATTTCCGATGCAACTGACAAGGATACCGAAGAAATTCGCATAGAAAGGAAGAAACGAGAAGAAGATGAATTGATATGCATTGGGCATATTCTAAATGCATTGTCCGATCGACTATATGATCTTTACACAAACACTACTTCGGCTAAAGAAATCTGGTATGCATTAGAAAGCAAATACAAAGCCGAGGAAGAAGGTACTAAAAAGTTTTTAATATCTAAATATTTTGATTTTAAAATTTTAGACAATATACCTTTATTGCCTCAAGTACACGAGTTACAAATAATTGTAAACAAGTTGAAAGTGGTAAAAATTGAACTTCCCGGAGCTTTCCAAGTGGGAGCAATTATTGCTAAACTCCCTGGTTCTTGGAGAGGATATAGGAAGAAAATTCTTCACAATTCCGAAGATTTTTCTTTAGAAAACATACAGAAATATCTTCGCATTGAGGAAGAATCAAGGGCAAGAAATAAGATTGAAAATTCTTATGATGGCTCTTCGAAAGCCAATGCCGTGGACAATGTGGACAACTCCAACAAGTTCAAAAAGAAAGGGAAATTTCTTGGTCCTAGAAAGGATCAAGGAAAATTCAAAAACAAAGCCAAAGGACCGTGCTATGTTTGTGGGAAAACCGGACACTATGCTAAAGATTGCAGGCATAGGAAACAACATAAGAAAGAAGAACAAGTGAACTTTGTTGATGAAATTATTGCAACAGTAAGTGAAATCAATGCAATCCAAGGCAAAGTTCCGGGCTGGTGTTACGATACATGCGCAACAATCCATGTATGTTATGATAAGTCTCTCTTCAAAACTTATCATGACATTGAAGACAACCAAGAAATACAAATGGGAAATGAAGGAAGATCAAAGGTGATCGGTAAAGGAAATGTTGAACTCCTTTTCACTTCGGGAAAGAAGATCACTTTGACAAATGTCCTGCATGTACCGGAAATGAATAGGAACTTAACAAGTGGTGTACTCTTGGGAAAACCCGGGATTAAATCTGTCTTTGAATCTGGAAAACTTGTATTAACCCATAGTGAGCATTTTGTTGGAAAGGGCTATTCTACCAAAGGAATGGTCAAGCTATGTACTGTTGAGGATAACTCAAATAAAATTAAATCTTTTGCGTATGTTATTGATTCATTTAATTTATGGCATGGTAGATTAGCACATATAGGAGTTAGTACTATGAAAAGAATGATTAAATGTAGATTAATACAATGTGATATTGATAACTTAGAAAAATGTGAAATATGTGTTGAATAAAAAATGATTAAGAAGCCATTTCATAGTATAGAAAAAACAACAAAATTATTTGAACTTGTTCATTCTGACATTTGTGAATTGAATAGAATATTAACTAGAGGCGGTAATAGATATTTTATTACTTTTATTGATGATTGTTCTAGGTATATTTACGTATACTTACTTAAACATAAGGATGAAGCCTTTAGTGCCTTTAAAACTTACAAGAATAAAGTTGAAAATCAATTAGGAAGAAAATTAATGACTTTAAGAAGTGATAGAGGTGGAGAGTATTTTTCAAATGAATTTAATATATTTTGTGAACAAAATGGAATAATACATCAATCTTCTGTACCTAGAACACCGGAACAAAATGGATTAGCAGAAAGAAAGAATAGAACTTATTTGAAAATGATAAATGTTATGTTATTAAATTCTGAATTACCTTTTAACTTATGGGGTGAAGCATTACTTTGTGCTTGTCATATAACAAATAGAATTCCTATGAAAAAGAATAAAACTTCCCCATATGAACTTTGGAAAGGTAGAAAACCAAATATTAATTATTTTAAAGTGTGGGAGTGCCTTGCGTATTATAAAAATATGGATCCAAAGAGAACCAAGTTAGATCCTAGAGGTATCAAATGTGCCTTTGTAGGATATGCCCTTGATGGCAAAGCCTATAGGTTATTAAATCTCGAATCAAATGTTATAATAGAATCAAGAGATGTGGAATTCTTTGAGAATGTGATGGTAGCTAGGAAATCTGAAAATAATAAGGATATTCCAACCTTTAAAAGCTCACCAAAAGAGACATCCATAAAGGATGTTGACTTTGAATCTCGAAGAAGCAAAAGAACAAGAAAGGAAAAGAACTTAGGATCTAATGAAATAGATTCCCAACTTATTTCCTTTTACTTAGTAGAAGGAGAACAATTCCTTTTGTTCTTCAAGTGGAAAGTGATCCTAAGACTTATAAGGAAGCAATGCAATCTAGAGATTATATATTCTGGAAAGAAGCTATAAATAATGAAATGGATTCTATTATTCCAAATAACATTTGGGAAATAGTTGACCTACCAGCAGATTCGAAAGCTATTGGTTGTAAATGGGTATTTAGAAAGAAATATAATTCTGATGGATCGCTTAATACTTATAAGGCTAGATTGGTAGCTAAAGGGTATCGTCAAAGGGAAGGAATTGATTACTTTGACACAGGAATTGATTACTTTGACACATATACACCAGTGGCAAGGATAACCTCAATAAGGATTTTATTTGCACTAGCATCTATATATGATTTATATGTTCATCAAATGGACGTAAAAACGACATTTTTAAATGGAGATTTCGAAGAGGAGGTCTATATGGAACAACCGGAAGGGTTTGTTTCACCGGGAAATGAACATAAGGTGTGCAAATTAATTAAATCTTTATATGGATTAAAGCAAGCTCCCAAAAAGTGGCATGAGAAATTGACTCTAAAATAATGTCAAATGGATTTAATCACAATTCAGTAGATAAATGTCTCTACACAAAAGTAAATGGTGATATAATCACATTAGTGTGTCTATATGTTGATAATATGCTAATCATTAGTAACAATATAGACAGAATCAAAGAAACAAAACGATTTCTATCATCTACTTTCAAAATGAAAGATCTTGGAGAAGTAGATACTATCCTTGGAATCAAAGTAAAGAAGGATAGTGGGGATTTTACATTAAGTCAATCACATTATGTTGATAATGTGATAAATAAATTTAAAAATTTGAACATTAAAGAGGCGAATACCCCTATAGATCCAAATATAAAATTAATCAAAAGCGAAGGTAAAGCAATTGCACAAATAGAATATGCAAGTGCAATTGGAAGTCTTATGTACGCATCACAATGTACAAGACCTGATGTGGCATTTGCTGTAAGTAAACTAAGTAGGTTTACTAGCAATCCAAGTTCGGAACATTGGAAAGCCATTGGCAGGGTTCTTGGTTACCTAAAGAAAACCAAAAACCTTGGGCTACAATATACCAAGCATCCTAAAATATTGGAAGGATATACCGATGCAAGTTGGATATCAAGTGTAGGAGAAAATAAATCCACATCTGGATGGATTTTCATTCTTGGAGGAAGTGCAGTTTCTTGAAAGTCTAAGAAACAAACTTGCATTACACATTCAACTATGGAATTAGAGTTTGTAGCTTTGGCTGAAACAGGGAAAGAAGCAGAATGGCTGAAGGACTTATTATATGAAATACCTTTAGACATAAAGGATATTTCCTCCATACCTATTTTGTGTGATAGTCAAGCTACTTTAGCTCGAGCATATAACGAAGTATATAATGGAAAGTCTAGACATATGAGTCTAAGACACGAATATGTAAGAAAATTAATCAAGCATGGAGTAATTTCTCTTACATTTGTTAAGTCAAGTGAAAACTTAGCTGATCCATTTACCAAACCTCTCACAAGAGAGTTAGTGAAATCAACATCAAGTAAAATGGGTTTAAAACTTCTTAAATAGATTCACCAATAACGACAACCCTACCAAAATATACTAAACCAGTATATATATAGGTTCAAAGGGTAATAACAAGTTATTCGATAAGTGGATGGATTTCAACACTATTAGATATATTGAAATTATATCATTGAAACTAGTGTTGGTTGTTACTGTTGGAGGGATGAGTTAATTAAACTCTTAATGAAGTTCAGTACGGAGTACAAGTATCTGTAAAAGTAACAAAAATACTGGAAGAATTTCACCTATGTGAATTTCGAGGTGGTGCCGCATCATTAGAGAATTGAAGTTTTTCTCTATAAAAGTTCAACGAAATAGGATTAGTGCAAGGCCATATTAGCACTAAGCGAGTTAAAGGAACTTGTGAAAAGTTTAACACTTGTGTGTGTGATTTTATCGGTATTGTCACAAAGAATAACTGGTTCAAAGCACTTTAGCTACTTGGAATTCTAATAATACTTTATGAGATTTACACTATGAATAGATTCAAATCGAAAAGATATCTTTTAGTTGTTCAATATAGTAGTTAATATTAAAAAAAAAAAATTATTTTTGGGCTTAACCATGTGAACCTATGCGGCCGCATGAGGCCCTCCCGAAAATGGGAGGGCCACTTGCAGTATAACCATGCGACCGCATGGTTATAGCCCATGCGGTCGCATGGTTATACAAAGTGACCGTTGGGGATTCGTTTTTTACCGTTTTTCTTTTGAATTTGGAGCCTTTTCAACATAATTTTGCACCATTTCGTGGAAACCCTTCAAAGCCTATAAATAGGTGTTTCAATTGCAAAGAAAAACACTCTTGGGAAAATTAAGAAATCCACCACAAGATTATTCTCCCAAATTATCACATAATCAATCCTATATCTATTTTCACTTGTTCTTTGTGAAAGATACACTTTGATTTCGGTATTCTTCACACAAAGGCTTGTTTAATCCTACAAACTATTTGCCGGAACTCCTCAAAAGCATTGGAAAGGGGGCAAATAACGTTTGAGGATAGCGTTATCATTTTCGTGTTCAAGCCTCTAATTATATCTATATTCTTTTATTACCAATTTTCTTCTCCTAATTGCTTTAAATTTCCAACATAATTTAGATGCAGGATTTAAGATGATGGAAGTAGCATAATGGACATAAGCACGATTACCAATATTAAAGAAAAAAATAAATGGAATATTTTATTTGAAGAGAAGGCTGGCGCTACAAAGGTTTAGTTTATTTTATGTTGAAAGTTAAGGACGCTAATGGCGAGGTTTTTCCTTCTTTTTTTTTTTTTTTTTTTTTTTTTTTCCATCTGAACAAAATTAACCAAACCATGGGTGAAGCATGCAAAAATTTTCCGATTAAAGTTCACCCCCTCATGTATGATATCAAAGACAAGCAAAGCATTCGGTAATTACCCACAAATCACGGGATCAATGTATCCAATATGCTCTAGTAGCTACTAAAATTAGAATATAATAGGATGTCTTACCGACATAAAGAATGGTCAAAAGGTTGAACCAACAACCAATAATAGCAGCAGCCCACAAGCTTGCTACAACCTGCAAGTATTTTAATACATCAAACACAACTTAGACATTTTTCGATTTGTTTTCATTTAACATTATGTCTCCACTGAAACAGTCCAACACAGAATAAGAAAAAAGCAGTGATTAATAATATAACGTACAATACGAATTTGTTCATGAAGTTTAAGTGCTGACGAAGTAACAGCTTATTAAAAAACATAGGAAGCTTTATCAGCAGATAGTTAAGAATAAAAACACTTAAATATAGAAATGGGGACAGTTTGTATTACCATGTAGGAGAAAAATACTTAAGAACAAGAAAACATGAAGTCTAAGAGATATTAGGACCGCTGGTTTCTTCTTCAAGCATGGCACATAATATAATGAAGGAAAGTGTCTTCGATTTAAGGTGGAGATGCACCAGAACAAGAAAAATATCTTAATTTAAGAGTTTTCCATTTGAAAATGTTGAAACAATTGTCTCATTCTGAAAACATTTGCGATGTGCTTCGCCAGGTAATGTATCAATCATTTATTTTCATGTTTTTAGCTGGAGAAGGAAAAAATACAATGAAACTAACATTTTTTTAACTTGTGAAAAGAAAACGTAGTCTGTATTTCTTTCTTCCTCTTATGTATGTTTACTACTGAAAACAGAAATGGACAAGTAAAATCAGAACAGCTGCAAAAGAATTATTCTTTTATGGTGAGGATCTAAATACGAATTGAATTTTCAAATTATGCAAGAGTGGTAAACTAAATAATAACCAAGAGAAAAGGTCAGCAAAAGAGTGTGGATTTCGGGACTACGAATCTTTAAAGATCAGGTCAGAACTATACTAGCTTGCTCCCAGCTTTCCCGATGAGCGAAGGTAACCAATCATCAACGCAGCTAGGAAAAGTTTAATCGAGGGAGGGAACTGCTTGAAATCAAAGAAAGGCTGGGACTCTTCTTTTCTTCCAAACCAATTGAGTTCCTAAAATCATTTTTAATGTTTAAACCATTTGGTAGCACATTGGTGTCTTGAGAATTCAAAAAAAACATGAGAAGAAGAAAAAAGTGGATCAAATTATCTGTAAATATATTCACACATAATAATGAATAAGGTTACAATTTCTAAGAGGAAATAAAAAAAAAATAAAAGTGCAGAATTGATGTTAAAATACCACTAGAAATTGCTTCATATTTCCTTCAGTGGCAACATCTTGCAAGAAGCTTAAACCCCGATTCACCTCGGCTCCAATCAAATTGGCAATGTTAACAAAAACCTCCACAGGCACAACAAGACGAGGGATATTGGATGGAGTTCTGTTAACATTGATATTACAGGAATTAATACGACGCAACTGAATGCATCCTGCCACTACCAAAAGCAGAACATTATCTCTATTTAAAATTACCTGTTTAATATGCCTGATGCATTTTTCCAAACCAATTGAGCAAGCATACCCATAACCAACACAAAGCATAGAATGGTAAGAAAATTGTAGTTAAGCCATTCAAAAAGCACCCAAGTTACAGTAGCAGCAGTTAAGACGCTGGCTGAAATCTTCTTGTTCCTCCATAATAGCACATCAGCAGCTAAGCATTCAAGTGAATATACATAAAATAAAGATGAATTCACTAATAAGAAAATTGGTAGAAGACGTAATGAGATCATACATTTGCCAGTTGCCACAACCCAAAATATGGTGAACGTGCCTTTGTCGTCCAAACAATCTATTGAACTGAGAATTCATGGATTTTAAATTCTCCTCCTCAAAAAAGGACTCAGATTTGGGCTTTGAAGCACTGTCAGTTATTGTTTCCATGATATTGTGCATAAGACTCTCAGCTGTTATTCCCTCAGGCATCTTTCCTGTAAGTCCAAATTAATTAAGCTCTTGTAGAAAAACAGACTTCAAGCTCTTGGGCTCATGTTGAAGCCAAAAAGTTGTTCAAGTTCAAAATCTGATGAAGCGGATAAAAGAGATTGATAAAAGAGTTTCATATAAACTTGAAAGAAAAATTGAATAAATAGGAGTGAGAAGACCATGGTGAGTAACCACTCACAAAGCATTTTAGCCTTGTAATGTTGGTTCTACCAGTCCAAAAACTCCAACCCCTCAACAAAGGCCATTACGAAAACTCTTGGGAAATTAATTTCACCAAAAATTTTCATTCATTTGAAGCTTCATGAAAGAGAAAAAAGTCGCATCGCAAACTAAAGTGTATGACCTTTAGCATAGAGGAATCATGGCAGCAAATAAAAGCGTGGACAAAAGCATAAATATAATTGAATTCTTGAAAGGCAAGGCCCTCTGATTTCAAAACCCTTCAACTATTTAGGCTAAAAGAGCAAAAGAAACATGCAAAAACAGTTCAGCCATTCTGAGTTAGTATTCAAGATTGCTCAAAAACAATTACTCGCTCGTTAAAACATAAGAACAGTCCCAAAATCACAGCAAAAAATGTAAAATCTGTGTAACCAAATGAACATCGAAGATGGTCCAAGCTTTACAAAGGATTGATAAAGATGAACTTTTCGTGTACTTACATGAAAGCCTCAAGGGAAAAGCTGAAGTCACTTAATTAATTGAGATAATAAAAAAACCCAGTAATCATGTTAAGTACTTGTTCGTATACATTTTCACTAGTAAACGCCCAAGACCACAGATCACTGTAAATCCAGATACTATAAAGGTCACGAAAAATCAACTTAAAGAAAGATCAAAATGGAACACAATTTGTGATGAATAGTAAATCATATAACTGAAATCACCAAAGATTGCGTTAATAATTTCAATGGTGATTGAACTATGTTACGAGTTACTACTCACTAACTGTACTTCAAAGCGAAAGGAAAAGAATAACAAATAAATGTCTTCATCTTCCTCGGGCATCCACCCTCACCCAACAACCATCTCTCTCCCATGTCCCAACTCCACCTCCACCACGGCCGCCGCCTGCCACCACAAAGACCTCATAAAGACGTAACCACTACCAGAAAAGATGACCCATAAACAAATACAATGTAGCAGCTTCGACCAAATATTATTAGAAAGTATCAACACAAATGGGTAAAGAGACGTGAATATTTGAATCAAATTAAATACCCGAATATTTGAATCAAGAATCGACGGATATGGTTCGATCTCGGTTATAAGTTAAGACTCGAAGAACCGAATAAGAACTGAATTTTCTTAATTTTTTTAATTTTTTTTTAAATAAGCAAAATTATTTTATTTTTTGTATATAAATTTGTTAACTAGTTAATTTAGTTCAAATCACAAAATATGATTTTTCCATTTCTAATTTTTAGTTCAAAATCAACTTAATTAAATTGACCTCAATTTTATCCAAATCCGTTACTCTCCTGTAATATCGTTGTTACTAGAGAAAATCGAATTAAAACTCTACAACATCTCTCTTAATTATTTTGAACTCGCTATCTTTCTCTTCCTGTGATTTTAATAATCAAATTTATGAAGAATTCAGTAAAGGGAGACGTAAAAGACACATAAAATTGGACTATGTTACTTTGTAAGAGTTAATATTGAACATATCATTAATTAAATTAATATAACTTTGTAAATATTAAAAAATTTAATTATAATACGGAACTGAATGGAACTGAACCGTTTCGAACCGATGGAACCGAACTCGAACGGTTTCATAATTAAATTTGGACCCGACAATTCCACTTACTAAATACCCGAAAATTTCGGGTCGGTTCGGTTCTTGTTAGAATCGAACCGAACCGACCCGGACCATGTCCAGCCCTATTGATAAGTATGTTTTTGCACACTTATTTAGGTCACAAACATGATTTAATAACGAGTAAAATGATTGAATTGTGACTTAATCTCGTTACATTTATGAATTATAGGGAAGACCGATGAATATGGTGAAATTCAGGAGAAAAGACGCGAAAAAAGATTAAAATGACGCAAAGTGAAAGTTCAGGGACCAAGGTGCAATTATCCAAAAATTGACCCGACGAACAAATCGAGAAATTGATTGAGCCAAATGCCAATTGATGAAATCTTGGGATGATGGAATGGAAAGAATGAAGAAAAGATGCCAAAAAGTAAAAGATTCAAGTAAAAGGACCAAAATGAACTTCCTCCATAGTTGGTAGCACTATGCGACCCCTCTATGCGGTCGCATAGAGGCAAACCGAAAACAAAAGGGCACAAAACTTTTACTCTATGCGACCGCATAGAGCGTTTTTATGCTAAATCCGTAGTTTCCTTATTCCGCTGAAACTCTTATGGAAACAATCTTTTTAGGGTTCTATATAAAAAAAAAAAAAACTCGACCAAAACGAAGGGGACGCCTTTTTTGCAAGAGAAAGGGAGATTTTGAAGAAGAAAACAAGAGGAAAACATCGCACCAAGTGAAGTTTCGATTGAAACTTGATTCGGGTTATGACGCTTCTTCAACTATTTTTGTATTTTCTTCTTTTTAGTTAGGCTAGATTTTTCATTGCTAGGAGATTGATGAACCTTGTAATATACGTTTGATTTTTGTTTGGAGATTTGACATATTTAAACGCATGTGTCCGGAATTGAATGATTCATTACGTTTTTATTTCCATATTATTTTTGTGCACGTAATTATATAATTGTGGTAACCTGTTTTATGCATTCGAAAGAATGAAAATAGACTCGACATAGTATAAATCATCATAAGGTCCGAAAGGGGATAGAAATATACATCTATGCCTTGTGTGAATTGTTGGATATTCATGAAATCATAAGGCATTCCGGTATGTTAGTATTCGTCATAGAGATATAGTCGAATCACATATTGGGATAGGTTTGGCATTGTTCGAGAGAAATTGATAAATTAAAATAGGAATATTGATTCACCTTTTGTGGGACAGTGTGTTTCAAATTTGCACGATTGAAAATTGAACGGGTATTGCTTGGGGATTCGTGATCTTAGTGCGTTAGTAAATTTTATTAATTCCATAAATTCTAGTAGATTGTGTCCAAATCATTTTGCATTTAATATAATTCTTTCATCCATAATTGCATCATAGTTTACATCTTCTTCAGCTAAATCACAACACATCAATTTTACTTTCGTGTTTCGGTTAAGGTCGTAATAGGTTGATTTGAACTAATTCAATCCCTGTGGGATCGATACTTGGACTCATAAGCCATTGTACTACTTGTTAACGAATTGTACACTTGCAGTGGATTTTAAATCGAAATAAATAATTTCGTGGACAAACGTAACAAAAAAAAGACTACATCTAACCAATTCACACAAATGAGATGGACAGAAGCTAAAAGAATCAGCCCTTGTTTGAGCCCCGAGCAAAGAATGCATTTTGAATACCATATTGACGGAGAATGTAAGGTCAAAATTAAGGAAAACTTTTAGATTTCGGCCCCACTCGGAGTGATTTTTCACCCTAAAAAATTTAATTTTTTGACTGTTATTTCACTATTTCATCCGTAACTTTTGATTTCTTTTCTTACAGGTGGCCTCCATTTTTTTCCCAACGATCAAAAAATCAATTCTCAAAATTACTATCAAACAAGTCCTTAATGTAATATGATTTTATAAAAGAATGTGTAAATAGAAATGAGTCTTGAGATAATAAATTTTTAGAAAAAATGAGGCTTGAACAAGAAAAACTGAAATAGTATAGAACCAAAAAATTAGAATAACTTAACTTGCTAAGGAATGTGAAAATAGAAGGCTAAGGAAAAAAAAAAGTAAGAGAAACTTTTGTGTTGATAAACAACCTATTTTGAATTGTGGGATTCAACTTTCAAGGATATTTATTTATTGAGGCCAATATGTGAGACCATGATGGGAGAATACCACTTGAACAATCCCCTCGAAAACTATGGAATTGTATGGCTCCCCCTATTACAGGGAGGTTGTCAACAAGCATCGCCCAACCATGATGATTTCCCTGTGTATCTACGTAAATATATAAAGATAATGCTGGGCGTACATTTGGGCTATACATAACCATGTCCATAATGGTGAGCTAACAGGATTTGAATCCATTTTCTCGTGGGATAAAAAGTACCATAAATATTTCCAAAAATAGCCCTTCATATATTACACAAGGGGGTCCTTTCTCTTTTCATTTTCCATCTACACAAGATTTAAGGAGAGGACTCCTCCAACATTTTCGACGACCTACTGAGAGAGCGAATCGAGTGGAGAATCAACGACCTAAGGGGAGAGCGATTCTAGTGGAGAACAATTCCATCAAGGAAACAAGTGGAACCCAGATATGAAGCCTAGTTTTCTGTCATCTAAAACTCTTACGGTGAGCGAATTGAGGGAAGACTCATCGATAACAAATGGCTTGACAGATATAAGGTAAGGGTTTGATTTAAAATGCATTTTTGATTAGCAGATTATACAACTTGTTCAAAAATGCATTTCAAATCCATTGTGTTGTAAAATGCAAATTGAAAATGTTTTCTTCAATTTGGGTTTGGATTTGGATTTTAGGGCATGTGTTGAATGCCTTGTTGATTTTGTGTGTAGGTAAATATTAGAGAATCAAATCAAACCGAAAGCCTATGTATTCACAGTTTCCTTAAATCGAATTCGTCGCCTCATCGGAGTGTAAGAGGTTTTGATTGGTGTTCGATTCCCAGGATACAATCGGTTGTCGGTTCACGCTGCACTACATTAACCGCCTGCGAACTAGCTGTGATATACTCTATCTCACAAAGAAATTATAAGCACAAGGAAGAACTTGAAAGTGAGAAAAAGAAGATTGTTGCTTAGAGGAAGAAGCTTGCATTTCACTTGTGATTTTCCAACCTAGAGAGACTCCTATTTATACCAATGGAGGAAAAGCTAGCTCATTAATCAAGGAGTTAAATCATTCATTGATAAAGGAGTTAAAAACATGAAGGGACTTGAGTTATAACATATGAAGAGAGTTCTATTCAATATTTTTCATCACTTCTATTCAATATTTTTCATTTAATTCTAATAATCCCCCACATGAATGAAAATGGAAACTAAGACTCAAGAGAAAAGAGAGAATAACACGAATCAATCCTGTATCGGATGGGCAGCATTTAGCTTTGAACCTTCCCTTATGAAACCTTTCGAGAATTACTAGCAAACCAGTGGATCTGATGCCTTGAACTGTTTCGTCATTTGTGTAAACCAAGACAATAGATCTCACACATGACCATTCTAGTCACAACATAGTTCTTACTGTTGTGTTCGTTTTGGCTATGAACACGTCGCCTGGTTCTGCAAGTGTTTTTTCAAGGATGTAGCCTTGACAATCCTTATAGAAGCGGCCCCACTTCACACTTACATAGGTTACCTCTTAACTTAGTTTTTCACAACAACGCTTAATGGTTATTAAAAGCATAGCTTAACCTGCATCTTTCAATCACTGTAAGCACCATAGGAATGAGCAGAAGGAGAACATTTTCAGTGTTTTACACAGATATACATGTTTTAGTTGTCCCTTTGAACCTAGGTCCTGGGATCTCCATTCAGCTAGGTTGGGTTTCCACCATGATACCTTTCAACGTCATAGGCTGCAAGCCCATTCCCCTCGATGCTTTTATAACTAGCTCTCGAGTTAGCCCTTTGGTTAGCGGATCCGCAATATTATCCTTTGACTTCACGTAGTCCAGAGTGATAATACCTTGTGAGAGTAGTTGTTGAATGGTATTGTGTCGTCTTCGAATATGGTGAGACTTACCATTATACATATTGCTCTGTGCCCTGTCAATTGTTGATTGATTATCACAATAAACACAAATTGTAGGCACATGCTTTGACCATCTTGGAATATCCTCAACAAACTGGTGAAGCCACTCTGCTTCTTCAGTTGCTTTGTCCAAAACGATGAACTCTGATTCCATTGTAGATCTTGCGATGCAAGTTTGTTTAGACGATTTCCAAAAGACAGCTGCACCACCAAGAGTGAAGACATATCCACTAGTAGACTTGGTATCTGACATATCTAATATCCAATTTGCATCAGCATGCCCTTCGATTACTGCAGGGTATCTAGAATAGTGCAGTCCAAAATCACAAGTGTGTCTTAAATAATGTAGCACCCTAAAAATGGCTTTCCAGTGGACAGCACCTGGGTTAGTCGTGTAGCGACTCAATCTGGTAACTGAGTATGCTATATCCAGTCTCGTACAAGTCATTAAATACATTAAACTCCCAATTATCCGAGAATATTCTAACTGTGATACACCATCACCAGTGTTCTTCGATAAGTGGAGACTCAAATCCACTGGAGTCCTGGCCACAGTGGTATCTGACTTATTGAACTTGTCTAGTATCTTATCAATGTAATGAGATTGAGATAACACAAGTCCATTTGGTGTTCGAGTAATTTTTACTCCCAAAATGACCTCCGCGAGACCCATATCTTGCATGTCAAATTTCGAGTTTAACATATTCTTAGTGGCTTTGATAATCTTGTCAGAGCTGCCGATAATGAGCATGTCGTTGATGTATAAACATAGTATGACATATCCATCATTAGTGTCGTTGACATATACACACTTGTCGCACTCGTTGATTCTAAAACCACTAGAAAGCATAGCATTATCAAACTTCTCATGCCATTGCTTCGGTGCTTGCTTCAAACCATACAGCGATTTAACCAGTCTACACACTTTCCATTCTTGACCTAGAGCTGTAAACTCCTCTGGTTGCTCCATGTAGATTTCTTCATTCAAATCTCTACTTAGGAAAGCTGTTTTTACATCCATCTGATATATTTTCAGATTTTCCAAGGCCGCAATAGCAATTATCATCCAGATAGAAGTTATTCTCGACACATGAGAATAAGTATCAAAGTAATCTAAGCTTTGCTTATAACCTTTGATTACTAGCCGAGCTTTATATTTATCAATGGAGTCGTCCGCTTTTATCTTCTTCTTGAAGATCCACTTGTAGCCTAAAGGCTTACAGCCCGATGGAAGATCTACTATCTCCCAAGTATGATTCTGTAGAATGGAATCGATTTCACTTTTGATGGCTTCTTTCTACAAATGACCATATGGAGAAGATATAGCTTCTTTATAGCTTTGAGGATCATTCTCCATCAAATATGTGAGAAAATTAGGGCCAAATGTCTTAGAAGTTTTGGCCTTTTTGCTTCGTCTAGGCTCATCCTCACCTTCTTCAACTAGATCTTTTCTGCTGCCAGAAGCAGAAGATTTCATTGTCCGTTTAATAGGAGTTAACTGTTTAGGAGACTTACAAGGAAATATATTCTCAAAGAATTGTGCATTCCTAAGCTCTATAATCGTGTTTGGAAGAATATGCACTACTATTTTGTGCATAACCAATGAACACACAATCAACTGTCTTAGGTCCAATCTTGACCTTTTTAGGAAGAGGCACCACAACTTTAGCTAGACACCCCCACATTCGTAAGTATTTATATGAAGGTGTCCGATTTGTACAAAGTTCATAGGAAGTCTTATCCATATTCTTTCTTAACACTTTATTCAAGATGTAATTTGTGGAAAGAATAGCTTCTCCCCACATGTTCTGTGGTAATCCAGAACTAATCAACATAGCATTCATCATTTCCTTTAAAGTTCTATTCTTACACTCAGCAATTCCGTTCTGCTGAGGTGAATAAGGTGCAGTAATTTGGTGAATTATTCCATATTTAGCACAAAATTCACCAAACAGTTATTCATATTCACCACCATGATCACTCCGTAACACCTTTATTTTCTTACTAAGTTAATTTTCAACTTCATTCTTATAAAGAATAAATTTATCGATAGCTTCGTCTTTGCTTTTAAGCAAATACACATAACAATATCTCGTGCTATCGTCGACAAAAGTAATAAAATACTTATTATCGCCTCGTGTTTGGACAGATTTCAAGTCACATACATCACTGTAGACTAGTCCCAATGGCTCAATACTTCTTTCAATACTATGAAACGAAGACCTAGTAAGCTTAGATTCAACCCATATTTCACATTTATGATTTGAATCAATTTGAAACCTAGGCAAGTAATTTAGTTTGCTTAGTCTACGTAAAACATTATAATTTACGTGACCTAATCTACTATGCCACAGATTTGAAGACTCAAGCAAGTAAACAGAAGGAGTTTTTTCATTACTCATAACAGTTGGAGTTATAGCAATTATATTCAATTTAAACAGGCCATCAGTCATATAGCCTTTCCCAACATAAACTCCTATTTTGTTAATCACCGGCTTATCCACCTCAAAGACCATGCGGAATCCATTCTTGCTCAGAAGAGACCCAAAGCCCATATTCTTGCGAATCTTTAGCACGTACATCACATTAGTCAGAGTAAGCTCTTTGCCGGATGTTATCTTCAGAATCACCTTACCTTTACCAAGCACTTAAGAAATTGCAGAGTTTCCCATGAACAACTTTTCACTATTTGTAACTGGTGCAAAAGTAGTGAACATGCTCCTGTTGGAGCAGACATGGCAAGTGGCCCCAGTGTCCAGCCACCACTCCTTTGGGTTAGACCCCACTAGGTTAACCTCACTAATCACCGCCGTGAGGTTTAGCTTAGACATTTCATCTGAGAGATGATCTCTTTCATTTCCAACCATATTAGCCTGAGGACGATGCTTATTATCCCTTCGAGGCTGACGGTAGTCTGCTGATCGATGCCCAACTTTGTCACAATTGAAGCAGTTTCCATTGAACTGGAACTTAGGTTTCTTTCCTACCCCACCTGTAGGCTTCAGCTGAGACCCTTTCATAGTCTTTTTTTATCTTTTCGATTTTCGTTACCCTGTTTGACTTTAAAGGAGTGAACTTTCTTAATACCAGAACTTTGGTCGTACTCCAATACATTAGCCTTCTCAGAGTAAGAATTATCTGACTTACATTTGGCCCGTTTGTTATCCTCCTCAATGCGCAGCTTGATAATTAAATCCTCGAAAGACATCTCTTTCCTCTTATACTGCAAATAGCTTTTGAAAGCCTTCGACTGAGGAGGTAGCTTGTGAATAGCAGTAGCCACCTGTAGAGATTCTGACATGGTCAGACCCTTAGCATGCATTTCTTGCAAAAGCACTTGATACTTCTGCACTTGGCTCACCACTGAACATGAATCAATCATTTCGAAGTCCATACACCAACTGGCTAAGAATTTCTTAGATCCGATATCCTCGGTATTGTATTTCTTTTCTAAAGACTCCCAGAGCTCCTTAGCAGACTTCTTTACCACATATACGTGATACAGAGAATTCAGTAGGCCATCCAAAACATAGTTGCGGCACAAAAAATAAGCACTTTTCCAAATGTCCCAAGCTGCAGGCCTATGCACATCAGTGTCGTTTTTAGCCACGATAGGGGCATTCTCAGTGAGGAAACGTGCAAAGCCCAACTTAGTGAGATAGAAAACCATCTAATTCTGCCATGTCTTAAAATCAGTACCAGCAAACTTATCTGGTCGAATTGCACGACTCATCGAAAATGGAGTCGAAAACGATGGCAAAGGTGCCGAAGCCGCAGCCCTAGGCACCGCAAAGGTATTGATGCGAACCCCGTAGCAATGGAAACTACGAAACCCACAACGAGATTGATGCGAAACCTAAGAACGCCAATACTAACCCGGTTTTGGATCTTGAACCCCAAGAATTGAATCAAGAAACCCTAGATTAGCGAAGAACCTAAAACCCCTTGATTACAATTGAAAGAACCCACAATCCAATTGATAGAACGCCACAAAAAGTTGAATCTTGATAAGTTCCAAGATTGTTCAAGAAGAATAATTAAATTGGAAGAATAACTCTCTCTCTATAATATTAAGCAATAGTCAAAGTTCAAAGGTCCTTACAATGAAAAGATATTCTCCTATTTATACTATTCCTCGAATAGGAGTTAAAAAGGAAATATAATTCTAATAATCTAATAAAATTCCTAAAATATTCGTCCAATATGGTAGAAATTTGATTAAAAATGAAATTCTAGTAAAATAAGGAAAAACGTGGAAAAAAAGGAAAATCGTGCCCAGAAGTGAACCATACGGTCGCATGGTTAAAACGCGTGCGGCCGCATGGTAGTAGAATTTTGGCCACTTTGATTCTCGGTATCATGCTGTGCGGCCGCACCGTGCGGCCGCATGGTTGCACTGCCCAGTGTCGTCTTCGGCTGCTTGTAACGC